CTTCTTAACAGTTTTATGCCCTGTCTGGGATGCAGTTCAGTTGGAGACTATTTATTTTATAGACTTTTTATAAGAAACTGCTAACTAGTAGCGATAGCCTAGCAAATTAAATGGTAATTTTTGTTTGTTTGTTTGTTTGTTTTTCAAGACAGGGTTTCTCTGTGTAGCTTTGTGCCTTTCCTGGAACTCACTTGGTAGCCCAGGCTGGCCTCGAACTCACAGAGATCTGCCTGCCTCTCTGCCTCCCGAGTGCTGGGATTAAAGGCGTGTGCCACCACCGCCCGGCAAAAGGTAATTTTAACTAATAGTAAAAATAATAATAATAATAATGATCTCTTCCTGACCATAATACATAGTTAAGCTCTCTGTCTCCCAACTATGATTGTAGTTTAAATAAGAAAGTGCAAGGATCTGTTTTCTAGAAATTTAATGGCTATGGAAGAATTACTTGCCCTCCCCTACCCCAGTCCCCGATTTGGAATAGACAAGTATTGTAGAGATGTCCTGAACCTCAGAGTACCGTCCTTGAAGGATACAGATACTATAAAAAGCACTTGAGCGAGGATAAGCCCCATTTCTCCCTCAGCTCCTCATACTTTCACATGTATATAAGGCAGACAGGACTTCCGGGTAAATGCTTGGGGACGCTTCAGTGTGTAGGATTAATGCAGAACTGGGCAAGCTGGTAGGAGAATGTATTATGGCTCAACTTCCTTGAAATGTGTGATACTCCCTTACGTTTTTTGCCTGTACACCAAAGTGGTTCTAGATTCAAGGGGCAAGGAAATAATTTACAGCTGTGTGATAGTGGGATCGAGTCTTCCCCTAGCCTGGAGTTCTCCCAGTGGATCTGAGTCCATCTAGGGACCAGGTGACCTCCTTACTCTTCAAAGCCAGCCTTCTTGCAAGTGTTGACAGTGGTAGATTTTTAGGCCAGGCCAGGTGACCCCATCAGACTGCTGACTGTGACAGTCTTTGAGCCTCCGCAGCATGGGAAGCCTGGGCTAACTGGAATGGTTGCCAGGACTGGGTGTGGCTGTGATTCCTAGCCAAGAGTCAGGCAGCCAGGAGCCACTGGGCAGTTGCTGGCGGCAATAATTGGCTCGTTCCTCTCCTTTGCTTGTCTGCCCTGGAGGAGACAAAGACAGGGAAGCGGCATTGCTGGAGGGCTGAGCCACGAGAGCTCCCAAACCTGGCCACAAAACTCGGGGGACAAGTCCATCGCCGCTCTCAGCGCTGAACCCCGCCAGGCTGTCAGGGCGCCTCCTTGGTCCTCCTACGATGTCTGTCCAAAGGCTCCCTCCCTGGTGAGGAGTGGAGTCCTGAGCTGCTCCCCCTTGTGTCCGTCAGTTGTCTGAGGATGAGGTAGAAACTCTAGTGTGGTGATGTCCCATCATCCTGAAGGGTGGTTTGAGATCCTGAGGAACAGAGAAGTTCGATTCTCTGTGTGTGTGTATGGGGTCCGGTTGGCTGATCACATCCTCAGCACGTGTTCTAGGCTGACCTTGCACTGACTGCAATCCTCTGCCTCAGCCTCCCAGGTGCTGGAATTTCAGGCATGCATCACCCAACACCAACCCCGTCCAGGCACTTGTTTTGGGCTGAGAAGACAGGAGAGCTTTAATAGTTGATGGTACTAAGCAGACAGAGTTCTTGGCCATGTGCTGAGCAGTGTCCCATCAGTCTTCCCGCAGCCGTGGGGGTGAGGCCTAAGCACCCAGATGTGAGGGGGAGGCCTAAGCACCCAGATGTGATGGGCGAGGCCCTAAGCACCCAGCAGCGAGGGACAAGGTTCTAAGCACCCGGCTGCAAAGCTACACCCTGTTCCCTACCACCAGTACGACACAGGCTCCATATGTAGTGATCGAGACTGAAGACTTAAGAATGTTTTTAGAGCTGGGATGAGCTCGATCGAGTCCGGTTTCCCAGCACTGGACCCACTAATTTGGAGGAAGGCTCTGGTACCCCCCCACCGGGGCTGGCCTTGACTGGGAGTCAGTGTGGTGACCGTGTCTCCCACAGCTCCAGCCTGTCTTCTGACAGTTTCTGCGGAGCGCGGCAGGGCAGGGCACCGCCAGACACGTAAGTAATTGTGAGGTGGTGGGTGCAGCTCTCAGCATTGCTTGTTCTCCAGTGAGGAAGGGGCTCACATCACCCCAAGGTGTGATGCAGAACGGAGATGGACATGGTGGAAGGAATTGGGGGGATCCGACTGGTTAAGTTTCAAACAAACGCCTGAGGTGTCCGTTTAACACGTCACAACAGACCTGGCGGCCAGGTTCTCCCAGCATCCCCCAGTCCCTACAGTCACAGGGAATGGCTGGCATAGCCCGCCCCCTACTCTGAGCTCTCCATGGGGGTGGAGGTCTGGGCTGCCCTTCCCCAGCTGCCCCTTTTTATATAATCCAGACATTTCGGCTGCCCGGACCTTTGGGACCTTTGGCCTCCTGGCTGCTGTACGTGGTTCCCATCTCTCCACATGGCCCAGCTCAGTCTGGCCATGTCCACACTGGACTCTCCCAGACGTCCCTGTCCCCGCCTCTACCTATGCTGTCCCTTTTATCTACAATAAACTTTCTTCTCCATCATCCCTAGGAGCAGTCATGTCCCTTCCTTTCCTTTTTATTTCTTTTTTTCACTGAATACTGAGGAATTGTACAAAGAATGGGTAGAAATTTGACAGAGGTGGGCATTCCAGATAGAAAAGCAAGGAGAGAGAGAAAGGCCGGGCTGGATTTGGAAAGCAGTGAGTTCCCAGGGACTTAGGAACACCTGAGAGCCCCGGGTGTTGCCCACTCCTCATCCTTTTAATGCTACACAGTAAGTATTGCAACTGTTTTTTCCAGGAAGATACCATGGGGACAGACTAAAACTCTTTCCCAGAAGGGCTGAAAGTTCTTGGAAGGTGTTCCTTGACCATTCCCAGTTATATTGGAGCATTGGAAGTTACGTTTTTTTTTTCTGTCTAAAAAGATAACAGATACTGGGTTGAATAGTTGAGAGACTCATCCCATTTGGGCTCTAATGTAGAGCCCAGTCTCATGGACCAGAGACTATCATCCCTGGTTTGATAAATGGCCTTGAAAACTACAGATCAATTAGCCCCACTTCTTCTACCCAGATGAACTGGGTGTGTTTGTTACGCGCCTCTGCAGCCATGGCTGGACGTCGTGTGGTATTGATTGGGTAATGCTCTTAGGCATGCTGTCCTCAGGGTTTTATGAGATTGTGAATTCTCAGCCGGAGTGAATATTTTATGAGATTCAATCATAACTAGAGGCTATGATAGAAGCCACGGCCAAGGCAGTTGATATTGAGAAACACAATCTGCTGTTTGAGCACAAACCCCATTTCTGGTGAGGCGGTGATGGGTTTTGGTAATTGTTTTCCCTTAGACCACTGACCTCCAAAGGCTGAATCGATTAGTGTTCTCACAAACATGAACAAGGTGATTATTCTATTTCCCATACTGATCTAAGAACTTAGAAACTGCATACGCCTCCTAAGAGCTTACCAGGTAGGCACCATCCTTACTGGTCCTGTTTCACAGGGAAGGAAACAGGCAGGAAGACGTGAAGTGCCCTGCCCAGGCACACAGCCGGAGGGCAGCGCAGTGGGAACTCAGACCCTGGAAGTGTTTCCCCAGCTTGTCCAGTGTTGGCCATTGTATGCACGACCTCTGTCGTTTATGGAGCTGTCTGTTGTGACTGAGCGCAGAGCACCTTACTGCCCTCCACTCAGAGCAGCCTGAGGCACGCCTGCCATCCTCCTCCTCCTTCCTCACCCCAGCTGGGCGGCTTGCTGTTCCTGCCTCTCTGGTCAGCAAGTGTCAGTGACCTTGTGTAACTTCTGTGTGGCCAGTCTGCTTCACAGCTGAGATCGTCTGTGTGCCTTTGTTAACCAAGCATTCAGTGTTGTGTGTCGTCCATTGTTCTTCCCCAACACAGCTCAGCAGTAGCTGACTGAATGCCACCAGCGCTGTGGCTAGGCATAAAGGGATGCACAGGTGTAGGGGAGGGCGAGGCAGGTACCGACTCATTTACATACAGGCTAGATCTTGACCTTGAATGCAGTGATGAGAAGAAGGGATTTCAGGCTTATGTTGTTAAGGTGAACAGGTCATCACACATCTTAAAGTCTACTTTATAAAAACTCACTTTTAGGGCCAGCCAGATGTCTCAGCAGGTTAAGGCACTTTCTCCAATCTTGACAACCCGAGTCCAAAATCTAGGACCCATGGGAGGGTCCTAGGAGAGAGAACCAACTCTTGAAGGTTGTCCTCAGACTTCCACTCAAGCCATGGCACAAATGCACACACACACACACACACACACACACACACACACACACACACACACACACACGCACACACACCTACAAGCATACACAATACATGCTGTCCTTGTCAGGCACGAGGTCATTAGGGTGAGCGTACCGTGAGCTTTGGGTGAATGAGTGGGTGAACGAATTGTCTCTGGTCGGCTAGCATCTGCAGACCCTCAGATGCCCTCCCCCGCTGTATTTCCCCCACTTTGCTCTTCCAGTCCGAGCTTTCTCTCTCACTTCAGGCCTGGAAGTAGCTGGACCTGTGGTGGCAGGAAACGTACTTTTAGGTTCAAGTCTGTAGTTTGGAAACTGAACTTGTTCTTAGGGAAGGAAATATGAGTTAAAGCAACTTTCCAAGGCCAGTATTAATTAGATGGAGTCACATCAAGGATACTACTGTGGAGCATGTATGCGGAGGCAGACCTTGGAGCATTGCCCCGGGAAGTCTGCACATTTGTGAGGCTCATGTTGCTCAAACACATGCAGCAGGGTCTGTTCAGGTCTGTTCTCTGGACTGAGAGTCTCACTCTCGACTTAGCTGCTCAGTGGACCACTCCATTGAGACACGCAGGGTGCTGCGTTCCCAGAACGAGCGCTGCGTCCCCACGTGCTTTGGTCTCCAGGTGTGGGGCACCATGTGCATTCAGCAGTTTGCTCTTTGTGCTTCCTTACAGCTGTGTCCTCCCCGCAGCATCGAGCCTCTGCCAAGATGAAGCCGATAGAGGAAGGGGCAGAAGACGACGATGAGGTCTTTGTGCAGGTGTCCGCAGATACACTTAAATCCCATCGGTTGCACTGATGAGCATTTAAGTGACCAAGATGGGAGCTTCCTGAGGAGAAGTACCTCGCTCTGCTGTGACTTTGAGGTGGTTTGCTTCTGTCCTGCCAGATGGGAAGTGAGGAAGGGCCGTGGTCAGGAGGTGTGTGCTGCTTGTCCTGGCAGTCAGCTCCTTAAGTTAGCTGAGCCTTTCTGACTAGGCCGTGCTCTATTTTGAGATACGTATTTTCTCAGTAGATATATTAATATTCTTTTAACTAATCTTATAGCTGTCAACACAAATGCCTTTTCACTTATTTTTCTAAGTGTGGCTCTTTTTTTCTCACGTGCATTTTTTTCTCTGTCATGGTAATTTAGAACGAGTTGTTCTTTTGATCATTTTAACAATGTAAGTCGAAATTGAGGCTGACATGACATTAAAAATTTTACCTTTGGTTCAGTTGACTTTTTCATGACAAATTTTAGAGAAAGTTTGATTTGTCTGCTTCTGTTTCCTGCCCCGAGACCAGAAGTGCCCCCCACTAGGTAATCCTCCTTGTTGGGTTGCAGGTTGGTTGGTAGTGACCACCCTCATCCCTGCCATTGTCAGCGACTCTGAAGCCTGGACCTGCAGTGGTAGTGAATGTGAGCATTTCTGAGCTCAGGGCCGATGTGGAGCTAAACTCAGCTCTCTGCCTTGTAGTCTGGAGCCATCTTGACCACATGCTCAGCTGTGAGGACGGGAGGGAGATGGGCTGAGCAAGGGCTGGGGTTAGAGGAAGTGAGGGGGATAGGCTAGGGTCACTAAAAATCAGCTTTGCCCTTCAGTCTGTTTCTGTGACCCCATATTGCTCCTCTAGAAGCAGATGTACTGAGCCAGACACAGTGGCTCACACCTGCAATGCCAACACTTGGGAGGCTGAGGCAGGAGGACAGAGAATTTGAGGTCCCCTAGTGAGACTTTGTCTCAAAACAACAATATTTTTTAAGGGCCAAATAGTTCCAGAGCTGTGGTGCCCGACAACCAGGGGACACTTTCTCCATTAGCACATGAGAGATGTGATAGTGTGGATCTCAGTTTCCATGAAACTACTTAGCTGGCCCGCACATAAGGCTGGCTTACCGTCACTCCGGAAATGACACCCCCTGAGGAGACAGGACTATCAGGTTCCACTGTGGCCACAGTCTGCATGTGTGGTGACTCCACAGACTTTGCAACCCCAGATGGTAGAACAGGTAACCTCCACCGATCGGCTTGGATCTAGTTGAGGTGTCTGGAGTGCTGGCAGTGGAGCCGTTTGAAAAGCACACTGTTAAAAGTGGGTCATTTAGACTCATTTACTCTTCTCGTGAAAACGTGGGCGTATCAGTGTCACTGGTAACAAAGATCATAATCTCATGGTGAGGAATCTTCAGAGAGCCACTTAGTCTGAGTAAGAAACTTGAAACTATGTTTAAAGCCGTACCTCCAAGGAAGACAAAGAGCCTTGAGAACAGGAGCCCAAAGCCATTGAATAGCCCTCCCATGTAGGCTTGACTGCAGGGGAGCAGAGAAGAGAAGAGAAAAGGAGTTCTAAGTGTTAGGTCTGTGGACAACTTTAGATTCCTTTACACAGGTGAGCAAGTGTATTTTTGTACAAAGCATAAATTAATAGATTAAAGGATGTTTGTACCAGTCTCCAAAAAGATGCTTCCTCTGATGTTAGAATTCAGTCAGCTCTGAGATCAATGTTCAGAAAATGCTCTGCAGAAATTAGTCTTATCTATATCCCTGATCTATGTTTAAATGTTGTATGACCCTAATATAATATTTATACCAAAATGTATTTGTCATTTAGAATATTTTGAAAGCCCTCAAAACATTTATATTTATAAAACAGCACAGATATACTACAGATCTGCAGTTAAATTTCTCTATCTTATATTAGTCATAATGGGTGCTATGCTACCTTCTAGTGCTTTCTGAAGCCCTGATTCTCCCTGTCACCCTGTTACACGCTAACCGTTGGGCACCATTTGTCTTCGGCTACTCTCCCTGTGTCAGAGGCTCTCTGGGGTGACTACTCCCTGTGTGTCAGAGGCTCTCTGGTGTCTGAAGAGTTGGTGTTTTTTTGTTTTTTCTTTTTTTAACTCCAACATCAGTCTCTGCCTCCTGATCCCATTAGGGCCCTAAACACACATTTGGATACTGGAACCGTCTTTAGGAAAAGCTGGTGGGACCTGCATACTTCTGTGTTTCCAGTGTACTCAGGTTGAGGCACGCCCTCCAGGAAAGGTTCCGTGCTAGGTGGTGGCTCTCAGCCTCCCAGTCCGCCCTTAGGGCTTGGCCTCCCCACAGATCCCTGGGGTGCCGCTCCAAGGGTGCAGTTTTGATTTGAATCCATTTGTTTTCATTTCTACAACTGCTCTGTGGAGACCTTTGACCCTGCTGTGCTTGTTTCCTTTGCCTTCCCTGGTTCCCTACTTTCCTGTCACCAAACCAGAGTGATGGAGCTCCCCCCTCCTCCGCTCCATCTCCAGGGTCAACAGCTCTGTGCTTCAGCTCTCCACCCATAGGACAGCAGCCGGCAGCAGCCATGCTTTTATTATCACAGCCCCTCATAATACCTGGGGGATTACGACATAGTGTAGGTGTTGTAATGTAAGGAAACTGATGGTAAGTGCCATTTATGGGTTTTCTGTTAAACTTGCGAGCTAGTTTTGAGATGAAGCATTTCATGAATGCTTTATGCAGACATGTTACAGGAAGCTTCAGGTGCCATTTATTTTAACATTCATTTTATATTGAAGGTGTATGTCTGAGTATAGTGTTATTGTTCAAATTAACTTCATACATTGCCATTTGATCCAATAAATTTTTTTCTTAGAAAAAAATGTGTGTATTTTCTGTTCCATGCCTCTTATGCTCAAGAGCAGGGTTTGGCCTAGTTAACTCCTTAGCCCCTCTGCTAAGGAGCCCTGAGAGGTAGTGCTATTGGGTTGGTTTTGTTTTATGAAGTGACCCAGGTCTGCTGTCTTCACTCTGGCCAGGATAAGAGGATGTTGCAAGGCATGTCAACAGTTGACTGGATACAACCCCAAAGCCTTTGCACTTTCTCTTCCGGGACAGAGATTCACATCTGAGCATCCCTTCTAGTTTCAAAAGGTCTGACAGTTCAGAGGTCTCCTGAAAGAGTCAGAGGCCCCTGCACCTGCCCTGAGACTGAGGACATTTTGTTCTTAGAAACCCACAATTTATTTCACCATGTCTCCAAGGTTTTTTAAAAGTTGATTTTATTATATGAGTGTTGGTCTGCATGTGTGCACCATGTGCATGCCTGGTGCCCACAGAGGACAGAAAAGGGTATTAAATCCCCTGGAACTGAGTGAGTTACAGACAGTTCTGAACCCTGTGGATACAGAGAACTGGACCCGGGTCCTCTGCAAGAGCAGCCAGTGCTCTTAACTACTGGGTCATTTCTCCAGCCCCAGGTTTATTCTTAGCAAAATAATAAATATCTTAATTCTCTACTCTGCCATCTCCTGTATCAGAACAAGCCTAGGCTCATGCAGTTAACGTCAGTGCTGCTGTCAAAGTGTAGGGAGCAGATTAAGTACTGAGTGAATGTATATTGTTGACATTCACATAGTCTTGTCAGGAACCCCAGTGCTTCAGGCCCATGGAAATTTGCAAAGCTTTCCCTGGTGCAAGTACAAGTGTTTACAAAGGATTGACCAGTGTATATAGCAACTGTCAGCCACAGCTTCCTCCTGGATGACTGCAGCCTGACACTGTTTCCCTATAGACACCTCCTGAGGAGACTATAAAGCTGCCTCCTCCCTGTTCACTGTGTACCACAGACCTGCTCCCTGTTCACTGTGTACCACAGACCTGCTCCCTGTTCACTGTGTACCACAGACCTGCTCCCTGTTCACTGTGTACCGCAGACCTGCTCCCTGTTCCCTCTGTACCACAGACCTGCTCCCTGTTCACTGTGTACCGCAGACCTGCTCCCTGTTCACTATGTACCACAGACCTGCTCCTCGTTCAGCTGACTACAGTAAACCCACTTCCTTTATTCAAATATATAAAATAAACTAGCTAACCTCCAAGCTTGCTGCTGCTGTGTCTCCATCAGAGCACACGGGAAACACAACCCTCAGTTCCTCTGTCCATGTCTGTGTGTCTGTCCTTCATTGTCATCCAGTCAGGCCAGTCCCTGAGCCTTGCAGGTCCTGGCATCAAAGTAATTGGAAAATTTGCAAGCTGAGATAAAAACTGTTCTGATAGAGCCTGCAGAAAAAAGCTAATGGTTTCTTTTAATTATTTATTTTTGTGTGTACATGTACATACCTGGTGCCTGCAGAGAGGTCAGAAGAGGATGTCAGGTCCCCTGGGACTGGAATTACAGTTGTGAGCTGCCCATGTGCTTGCTGGGGATTGAACCCAGGTCCTCTGGGAAAGCAGTCAGTGCTTTTAACGTCAAGCCATCTTTCCAGTCAGTTACCCAAAGCTGATATTGTTAACACAGCCATCAAGGCCCTTCCTACATCTAGTTTCTTCTACCCTACGCCTAGGCCAGAGCACATTGGCCGTCCACTGTCCGCCATGCCTGCGTTTCCCCTCCAGTGGGCTCGTCACAGTAAGCAGTTACATCTCTGCCGCCATTTGTGTCCCCTGTGAAGTCCAGTGTGCTCTTGCTTGTTACCCTTTGCCGTCAGGGATTCACGCACACCATGACTGGTTGTAGTTGGCATCCGTGTCTATGGAGTAAGCCAATCTTGAATGTGGTGGTGCATGCCCTTAATCCTAATACTTGGGAGGCAGAGGCAAGTCTGATCTACAGTGGGTTCCCAAACCAAGCAGCTACATAGTGAGACCCTGTCTCAGTTTTTCTAAAGTGGAGGAAATTATGTCTCTATTGAACATGTGAAGGCTTTCCCATATTTCATCAGACCCCCGACACAGTGGAATGGCTTTTTACACAGCATTTGCTTTGTGCTAGGCATTCTAAGTCATATAATGCTGCGTAAAGTATGTGGCAGATTACAGAGTTTTGGTGGGTTTTTTTCCTGTTTTATGTAGGAACATTTTGAACATTTTCTGGGGTTCTAGAACAAAATTTTGCCAGATAATAAGGAGAAAATGTCATGGACAAGTTTATTAGTAATATGAAATATTTCTATATTCAAATGGTAGCTGAGGTGATATAAAGAATCACTTTGGAGAGTGTGGTAAGTGCGCCCTCTGCTGGTGGCACTGCGGTACAGCGTGGCCTCCGGTCAGAACGTGCATCTCCAGACACCCACTCTCCCTCCTTCCCTTTCTTTCTCTCTTTCCTTTTTCCCTCACCCCCACTCCCTTTCCTCCTACCCTCATCTTTTTCTTTTGAGACAGGTTTTGCTAGTCACCCCAGGCTGGCCTTCAGCCTCCTGCCTCAGCTTCCTGAGTGCTTGGATTTAAGGCATACACCACCACAC